GCCATTCGGAAACCACGAGATGGTGACCAACTATTCCGAGGCACTCCGAGATACTGTAGTTTGAATACTCACTACAGAAAAGAGCAGGTTTGGAAGGTTCTCTCTTAGCTTCACTGATAGGTCGGAAGGCAAACATTTAACAGGGTCGGGTTGACGACCTGTGGTCCTGGCTTCATATGCTTATCGAACTTCATATCGGATTGCCTTGGAATCGCATAAACGATGAAAAAAACGCATTCTCGCTCAAAAAAGAAAGATAACGCCAAAAGAGTTAATACGGGTGAGCAGAAAGTTTGTAAGTACAGTCATGGTCCCTGCAAACGATAGGTGGACCGCAGCCAAGGCGACTTTTCCATCAATGATGCCGTCCCGAGTACGCAGCAGTGGCGGTGGAATCTGGTCTGGCTGCGATCTAACTCACGCCCTGTCACCCACCCTATTGCTCCGGAGATTCAGGACTAAAATGCCAAAAATCGGAGGTGAGAAGCGGGGGTTTATTATATTTGAAGAAACTTGTCCAGAATGAATTTGGTTATAAGATTCGTGAGTATCTAGAAACACTGAAATATGAAGATCGGCCAGATTATCATGGACTTTTCAGTGAGGTGAGTGACATGCAACGACATTCATAACCCCTGGACAGTGGTGGTAAGTGACCAGGAGCGATCCGAAAATCCTCTGAATAAGATCCTCGCGCGCATGCGACACTTTGACAGCCGAAAAAGCGAGCAATAGAGCAAAGTGAGGAAAACGAAGAGAGGAGAAATTAAAGGGCAGGAAGATAGGGGCCATCGAGTAAAACCGCATCGTTCTGCAGCATTTGTATAGTGTAGTTCGCTGCGGACGGTCGGGCGTGTCAGGCGGGATGAGTTTGGCGCGGTGCCAAACCCGTTCTCCACCAGTTGTTAAAGCGAGCAAATGATATGACTGTATCATATCGTTCGTATTACTCGTTTTCTACCACTTTTTGTCGCATGCGCGCTTCAACAAGAAGGCAGAGAACGGCTTTGACGGTGTGACACACTCATACTGCCTGACACGCCCAACCGTCCGCAGCGATATAGAGTATATATACTCGAAATCCCTGAGATCGGGTAGGCGTGGCTGCATTCTTCAACTTAACCTGAAGGTGTCTATGCTTCTGGTGAAATATTTCCATCTTGACACAACTGTTGTCGTGTCTCTGTCCAACCAACCACAGACGAGATGACAGTTGTCCCAGACTGGAATATTCCACGTGTAACTAATTCCGTGCCATCCTCAAATGCCACGCCTACTCTGGCTCGGCGGATAAGGAGTGTATATAGGCGTGCACGATGTCTGTGGGTGTGGTCACCATAAGTCGTGAGCTCCTACCACCCTTGCATCTTCACCCGGCGAAAGTGGTACAACTATCTCAATAGATAGTTAATTTTGCCTCTGCCTACGGCTGTAACCAGAGTCCAGCCTAACCAAGATTCAGAGTCTACTAGCCTGATGAGTGAGAATGCAGGTTGCCCTGGTTTCACGAGGTACGCGAAATGGAATTTGGGCAAAAGCTCTGGTGGAGCTACTACACCCTAAAGTTATGAATCCTGGTTCTACAGCCTTGTTTTCTGTGGATGCTGGACGTGTCAGGAGTTCAGGCTTGGCGCAGCAGCAATCCGTTCTCCTCCAACTGTGGTCGCCTTCAAGGTTCTACAATGAATGGAGAATGGGTGGGCGCCGCACCAAACCCAGCTCCCCCCCCCACTCGACACGCCTCAGGATCCGCAGCGAAGGAAACTGTACACACCGTACACCTCTGCAACCTCCTCACACTTTCAATTCTAGTGTATGTCTGGGTTGAAACGGGTACAAGGCTCGTTTCTCGATCGGTATGAGTGGGAAGGGCCACGCGAGGATATAAACACTGCTTTGTCAATTTCCGAATCCTGTTTAACCAAGAAACCCCTTACTAGTAAGTTTATAATTTGCAACCTATTAACTCACATCTAATATCAAAATCTGGACGTTTCAGAGGTAGTGGGTGCGTAGGCAGGGGAAGGGGGCGGTGTGGCAGTTCCGCGCCACTCGTTATTGGGCTGCGCTCTCAGCCCCATAGGGGCGCACGGGTCGTTGACTCTACAGGAGAAAC